AGTAAACAAAAATCAATTGTACGTTTTATTAATGTATTGGAATCAATAATTATTGTCCCCCCCTCTCTCTCTCTCTCTCTTTCTAGTCCTTGGTCCATTATTCCAGTATATAATTCTGTGGACAACAGAACTTCAAAGCACAAGCTAATGTAAGCATATGCCATTATACATGGATCTGGTAATAAATTTTTTCATTCTTTTTTTATTTTTTATTAGGGGGCGTACAATGATCCTAGTGTATAATAACTTATAATTCCTATATTTTTACAATTTTTGGCAGCATTTTGCCATTTTTTGTGATTCTTTTTCTTATAAAAATTTTTACTGCTATACTCAATTACTTGTTCTTGTCTATACAATGTTACGTTGCTCTGTTATACAGAGGTGTTCTTTATGTGGAGGCTATTTTATACAGTAAGGAATGTAATTGGTACACTAGGTGCTGTCCATTAGGAGGTGTGTGCACTATAGAGAGTGTTTGTTAATAGAGGGTTTACTGTATTAATGGTATATTATGTGTGTGTATTAATATTAGTATCAAATAACTCACCTCCACCAGTTAATAGTATTTCTTTTATTTGAGTGTGTCCTCCTTCATTAGCTATCTCTACTGCACTCTTTCCTCTCTCATCTTTACTGTTAGGATCAGCTCCTAACTGCAGTAGCATTGATACTTCAAAACTATCACCAGCTTTAACTGATTCATGGAGTGAAACGTCAAAATTGTTATCATCTTCTCTTCCGATAAGAATTGCTTTATTGTCAACATCAACTTCCAATATTCCTAATCTACTCATTGAGTTTGTTTTGTTATTGATAGCATCAATAAGAGACTGTGATAGTGAGGCTGGTATTATCAGTGTAGCAACTACTGACCCAATACCAATGTCCCTTATAGTGCAAATATCTGCTATTTCTTGCCCAAAGTAATACTGAAGAACTCTTTTAAAATTTTTTAAAGTCATTTCTTCCCATCTACCATTCAGTTTAATGATGAATGGTTTTGTTTGATCGCTGGTGGTTGGTGACGCTGCTGCTGGTAATGATGACAATTTCTCTTCGATTGCTAATCGTATATTCTTCAATTGTGATGATTCTGAAAACTTATCAACACTATCAATGTATTGAGCTAGCTCAGTTTTTGCATTTGAAAGGTAAATTTTTGTCAATTGTTTAAGTACACCACAATTGAAAAAATCACAATACTTTTTAAGAGAATCAAATAGTTCATCAACATCACCATATTTTAAAGTTGAAACTGGTATGTCTAAAAAAGTAGCTGCACTCCTAGCTACAGCTTTAAGCTTCACTTTACCCTTTTCCACCAGCTCCTCAAACTCATCTCTAATATCAGAATCAAGAGATGCAAAACGAGAATGAAGACTTTCAATATTGGCAGCAACTTCATCCTTTGAACTTAGCTCAATGACAGTAGTAGGAGTAGATGATTGTGATCCAGTGATTGTTGGTTGTGGTGTGTGAGATTGTGCAGTGACATCCACTGGTTGAAGTGGTCCCTCACTGACTGATGGTTGCTGCTCTAGATTAGGATCAACATAACTACCTTTCATTTCTATTATAAATTTAATTAATTAATCAATAAGATGTTTATATATCTTACTTAAATTTTCCATTAGTTTAGATGCCATGTTTTTAAGTCCTACTTTCT